CACTGATCTGTAGCTCCAGTTCATTGTTCTACCATTGTCTGCAAGTTGCATGGAAGTGTCGCGAAAATGCTTCGGTTCATACCTTTGCAAGTTGCATTTTGGAAGGAAGTCTCGCAGCATTGCTTCGTTTCACACATGTGCAACTTGCATTTGTCGTGGCAGGCGCAGCACTTTGTGAACCTCAAAGTGCAGATTTTGTGGCAGGTACAGCATTTCACACATCTGCAGCTTGCATTTTTGAAGGAAGTCTCGTACGAAATGCGTTTTTGAACGATAGCGGATGCACGAAATGCTATGTTTTTGCGTGCGAAATGCTTCTCCGAACCTCGACGGGGAAGCTCCGCGGAACGACGGTTGCCGGACGGTCTCGCGCCGTGGTCGGATCGGTTCCTCCATTGTGGTTAGAGTTTTCACTTGTTTCTTGAAGTGCAGATTTCGTGGCAGGCACAGCACTTTGTGAACCTCCATGTGCAGATTTGGTGGCAGGTGCAGCACTTTTGAACTTCAATTTGCAGATTTTGTGGCAGGCGCAGCAGTTTGTGAACTTCGAGGTGTAGACTTCGTGGCAGGCGCAGTACTTTGTAAACCTCCATGTGCAGATTTCGTGGTAGGCACAGCACTTTGTGAACCTCCATGTATAGATTTGGTGGCAGGCACAGCACTTTGTGAACCTCCATGCGCAGACTTCGTGGCAGGCACATCACTTTGTGGACCTAGAGTTCGTGGCAGGCACAGCACTTTGTGAACCTCCATGTGCAGATTTCGTGGCAGGCACATGTGTGGAGCTGGAAGCTCATCACTCATCATCATCATCATCATCATCATCATCATTTGCACAGACCTTGCACAGGTGGCGCTGTGTTGGTCATCAAAAGTCCGGAGCGCATGCATCTGACTGTGGGACACGAGGGACACGCATGGTGGAAAGAACCGGGACACTCCTATAGGTCAATTTGTTCTTATAGGAAACTTTCGCCGCCGGCTTGCCCGGGAACTACTTGTAGGTCCATTGTAGGTGGTTTCAACACAGCTGCGCAGAAGTCTCCGCTCGTCCTTCGTTTTCAGGCTCTTCCCTTGTCCAACCAAGCAACTGACCCGATCCAACCCCCAGGTCGGTCTCGTGCATCATGATTATGACATCAGAGGTGTGGTGGGATGCAAACAACAACAACAACAACAACAACAACAACAACAACAACAACAACAACAACACAGGCATCATCATGGATTCCTGGTTTACTCACCCCGTTCTGTTTGCTGTTTATCCAAACAAAAACACGTCTCGACTTCAAGAACTGGCGGTAGATTCCAGAAAGATTGAGGCCGATCGGATCGATGGAAGCATGCACCCTGGTTGTAGTTGTTCTAACAGAGACCCCAGAGCTGGCTTACACTACAGGACCTGCAAAGCAGGAAAGAAATCACTGGATGCATTGGTACCGGAGCTACAGCCTACCACTTGAAAATTCTGGAAAGCTGCTCATACTCTATCCACTGGACGCAGTCACCATCGTCCATGGTGACTCTGCTCGTCTTCGCACTCGCCACACCCTCCCTCAGGCTCCCCAACCATCGCTTGAAGCATCGGGGGCGTATTCTCGCCCGCCAGGCAGCTCGCACTGTAGGCCTCGCTCGGTCCCGCGCCACGCCGCGGCGAGCAGCGAGCGAAGCTGGTTCGGTGGGAGATCGCTCTTCGGGAGTCCGCTTTCCCTGCTTCTGCAACCAGATTTGGACATGAGTTGAGAAAAAACGGCGAAGAGGAGAGTCTTGGGAGAAAAAGAACCAAGAAGTTCCTGGGGCGGCGGAGGTGCAGGATTGGAGGTGATGCCTGGTGATGCAAGACTCCTACCATCCAAAGAGGGCACAGAAAAGGATCTCCTATACATATAGATAAATCCAAAAGAGAATCAACAGTTCTCACAACAACGACCTGAGACTCAGCTCTGCACGTGTCTGGGCAAGGCATCTCCAGCCCTCTTCGGTTCCAGAGCTTGGGAGGCGGAATAGGAATAGCATGTCACCAAGGACTGTCCATGACATGGCGAACCAGTTGCCATATGGGTAAACTGGTTGGCGACCTTGTAGACTTAGACTCGAGGTTCATCACTGCAACCAGCCACACTCACCGACCATCAACAGATAGGTCAGGGCCGCGTTCCAAAGATTGGCAGGTGTAGAAGATATGAGAAAGGTGACTTTGGGTGGGTGTTGCTCAAGGTGACTCTGGAGCCCTGTACCACGACCCGACGACCCAGTGGACGTCTGTTAGACGTCTTCTGGGTCGCCAGAGCCCACGTCTTCTGGGTCGCCAGAGCTACCGTTTTCGCGTGACACTGATCGGCTGTGCCTGTGTCCCTCTAAAGGAGCCACCTGTGTAGAAAAAACACTATCTGGGTGTGTCTTACACATGGGAACGACTGACAAAGACAGGGAAAATCATTAAGCATGTGAGAAAGGAAGAAAGCACCAACTGTCTTCACACAAACCCACGGTGAAGGAAAAATTCACCTGATGTTTGGCATCCTTCCCTACTCCCACCCCCCCCAAAAAATATATTCCCTGCAGATTAACATGGAACCCCCAACTAGAGGAAAATGGTCTTCCATCGTTCCATGCCATCAGGTTCCATGTTAGTTTGCGGGGAGGTAATCCTGCCCTTTGAATTTGGACACCTGGTCCGGTCGATCTCTTCACTATTGGATTGGAGGCCATCGCTATTACGTTGGAGGTCATCGCGTACAGGTTACAGGCCATCGCTATTTGGTTGGAGGCCATCGCTATTAGGTTGGAGGCCATCGCTACTAGGTTCCAAGCCATCTCTATTAGGTTGGAGGCCATCGCTATTAGGTTGGAGGCCATCGCTATTTGGTTGGAGGCCATCGCTATTGGGTTGGAGGCCATCGCTATTAGGTTGGCCTCCTTTAGGTTGGAGGCCATCTCTATCAGGTTGGAGGCCATCCCTATTCCCTTGGAGGCCATCGCTATTAGGTTGGAGGCCATCGCTATTAGGTTGGAGGCCATCGCTATTGGGTTGGAGGCCATCTCTATTAGGTTGGAGGCCATCGCTATTAGGTTGGAGGCCCTCGCTCTTAGGTTGGAGGCCATCGCTATTAGGTTGGAGGCCATC